TTGCCCACTTACTGACACAAGTGTTTTCCCAAGGCACCGTTTTTTTCTCTGCACGACATTATTTTCTTTTTTGCATTCACTTTTACAGGATTTCAGAGTCAAGAGGAGCTAGACCTTAAGGAATATGATTGAAATTGTGCTAATAACAGTCACAGCCTGAGCTAACTTTATTGAGCATCTACTATGTGCCCAGCTCTCTCCACCTATATTAGTTACCCCATTCAAATCTCACAACGAACCTATGAGAGAGCTACCAGGAGGAATGTGGGCTCCCCCAAAGCAGAACCCGAGAGGAGGATTTGGGTGCAAGTGGTTTACTTAGGAGGTGGTTCCAGGAGGCTGAAGTGGGGGAAAGGGCACAGTGAGATGGGAAGGGAGAAAAGTCAAAAAGGTACCTCAGTGGGCAGGTAATCACTGTGGGTGACTGGGGCTCAGTCCTGCAGGGGACATCTGGGGACCAGCATAGAACCCACTTCAGAACTGTTCCACTGCACAGGGGAAGCTGGGGGATTTACGCACAGACCCCTGGCTTTCACTGCTTGAGGACTGTCCCCAGGGGTGTGAACTCAGGGGTGTACCTACCGGGGGATGGGCACCCTCTAGAGGAAGCCACAGGGCCATGATGCAGAGAGTCCACTGCACCAGGGTTCGGGGCATGCACAGAACTGTCCACCCGTGTCATTGAAATTAGGGGTCTTCAAGGGACTGTGGCCTGGCCCCTTATGAGCACCCACCACAGGACCACCAGGAGCCCCATTTTGGATAGGAGGAAACTGAGTTTAGAGGGGGGGGGCAACTTGTGAAAGGTCACAGCCAGCATGGGGCACAGCTTAGGTTCAAGTTCAGGCCTTCCTAGCCCCTGAGCCTGGGCTGCTGACCATTACATCACACCGCCTGAGACAAGTGAGGCCGGAAGAGACATGTGCAAATTTGGCGGTGTGAAGGAGCCCTTGACCACTGATCCTATGTGGAAAGCTGACTTATTCCATCTCTTCTCTGAGGGCCTCTCAAAATTATGGCATCTTTCCCCCAATCCCGCCCATGCACAGCCCTGCACAGGCAGCCAGTCTCTCTTTCTTTGAATAAAGTTTCAGAAGGACACCATGGGCACATCTACACAGAGGGACAGAAACCATAGAATCAAGACTGAGTAGCCCCTGAATCTCAACTCCAGCCCAAGGTGGAAGTCCCTCCCGGAGGCCCCGGTCCCCACTCCACGGGGTCCCCTGCTCCACTCTGAGATACACAGTGGGAAAATCTGTAAGAGAGAATGCAACCCCACCCACTGGCCTTCTTTGGCTTTGGGAAGGCAAATTTATTTTACATTCGTCAAGATATTTATAGGCACAATGTCTGCTTTTCAACACTTTTTTTTCCCTTCCAGGTTAAATGCTGCCTGGTTCTTTTGGCAGTTCTTTATAGAATGTGATTTCCAGACTCATTTTCTTTGTTTATATTCTTCTGTACGTCATCTCGCCCAGCGTCACTGGGGTAGGGTGAAACTTTTATGGGTGTGGGGCTCAGTGTCCGTCATGGTGTGGACCATTCATTTTTCCCATCACTGAGTGGCTGCTCTGTTGTGTCACTGGGAGCATCAGCCAGATGGGGGCACGGGATGGGATACAGGTCAAGGGACTGCTTGCGACTGTATTTATTGAAACATGTGGGAACGCTGCTAAGGGGCCTGTGAGAGAGCAGGGTCAGGGCAGTTAACAAATCTAGGCACGTGATGAGCCAGTGCTAAAAGGCACATGATCAGAGGATAAACCTGGGTGACTAAACACAGTCGGACACGGTTGGCCATGGGAGGGATGGTGCTGTAATCGTTGCTGGCTTGTCTTGGTAGACATTCCGGGGTCTCACCACGATCTCTAGTTTTCTTCTCTTTCGGGATGCACAGCAGGATTATATATATTTTTGCCCCTGATTCCAAGCTGAATTAAGTAAGAGCTGGTGGGTGACTGCCCACACTTCCTTCCATGCTGTGAGAAACCCTACGGCCTCAGATTGATACCGTGGTACCAAAAGATGGTGGGGCCTCTGTCAGCCTGGGTTCCTACGTGACAACATGGAGAAGAAACACCCTGACAACTCTCTCCGGATATAGCATGAGTGACAAAGAAACTGTGATTGCTGTTGTAACTGTGGACAGCAGTGACATTTTCTTGTTATACATTTGCTGTATCGATTTCAGAGTTTACCACCTGAGCACTGAGGAATTCAGCCGCAAGAACCACGGGACTTGGCTAGCCAACAAAAAAGTGAATACAGGATTGAGGAGCATGATAAAGTGACGCCAGCTCCATACTTTGTTTCGGTTGTGCATTCTGGAAAATGTCATGGTTAAAAACCTTCTGTGGTTCTGAGCCACTGACAACTCGGGATTGCTCGTCACTGCACCATAACCTAGCCTATCCCAAGAGATGCATTTGCTCAGTGTCACTTGTCCTCAAATCTTATTTTTGGTATTTGAAAATATGTCGTGACCAGAAGAACCTCCAGAACGCTTGCTGTAGTTTAAGCACAGTGCCTATGGCTTCCGTGAAAATTGGAGATGTGGTTTGACTAGCCAAGAAGACAAGCCTGAGGCAGAGGTAAGTTTCCAAACACTGTGTGCATGCATCTCACAGCTCCCCAACACACACACACACACACACACACACACACGCACATGCACACACACACACACACACACACACACACACAGTGGGAGGAACAGGAAGTAGACATGGAGAGAATGCGTTATGGGGAACAGCAAAGACACCATGACCGAGTGGACTTACCAGAACACTGAAGTCCACTGCCAGCATATTCATGCCTATATGGGCAATTGATGAGGAGGGTGTAATTTTCTCCAGGTGAGTATGGCTAAGTCTGTCTCAGCCTCCAGCTATGATTTATAATATCACTATGATTAATAGTATATTTAGGTTGATGGATGGTGACATGTGGGATAAAACTGATAGGGGTGCACTTTTGTCATGTAAATAGCATCAGGCCTGCTGTTCATGGAATGCCTTGTGTTACTTCAGACTCTCAGAAGTGAAATGGGGAAAGTCCTACTTTTGTGACAAGGGCGATTGTCATGAGGGTGGATGCTGCTGGATTAAAGATTTTTGTTATTCTTTGTGTTCTTTGACCAGAGTATATTAGATTAATGATAATAGCCATTATAAGTAGTATTGATGTGGTGGATTGTTTTAGGAAATATTTGTTGGATGCTTCTGTAGCTTATGGGTTCGTGTTATTTATTAGAATGGGGATACCATTAACCAGTGTGAGCTTGTTATACAATTATATTTCCTGAGATAATAGTCAGTAGAATGATAGTAAAAACAATGAGAGTTTATTAGTTCAGGAAGGATATATGACAATATTTTGGGGGTATGGGCCTGAAGCTTACTTAGAGAACCTTACTATATAGCATGTGGTGTAAAGTGGTAGCATGGGGAATGTAAAATTCTTAGGAAGAATTTAATTCCAAGAATAAGAGCATTGAAACCTCTATGATTTACTCTATCAAAGTAACTCTTTCGTCAGACATATTTCTTAAGTTTGTGGTGGGTTGCCTGGTATGGTGACAGGTAGTGAAAACTCTCATATACATCGAGCTAATGTTAGTAGTAAAAAAACCTTTTTATAGGAGATGTAGACGTTGATCATATCAAACTTCTGTGTCGGATGCTCAAATTCATAGAAAGGAGATTGTTAGATTTTTTTTTTTTTTTTTGCGGTACGCGGGCCTCTCACTGTTGTGGCCTCTCCCGTTGCGGAGCACAGGCTCCGGACGCGCAGGCTCAGCGGCCATGGCTCACGGGCCCAGCCGCTCCGTGGTATGTGGGATCTTCCCAGACCGGGGCACGAACCCGTGTCTCCTGCATCGGCAGGCGGACTCTCAACCACTGCGCCTCCAGGGAAGCCCGTTAGATGTGTTTTAATGATGACGGGCTGTATATAATTCTGGCACCTAGGGATTGTCGAATGCCCCTAAAAATTGATTGCTGTGGAAATGTTTATTATAAGGAAATTGACATATTCTCTAGGAAGGACGGGGTGAATGGGCCTGCTACATTTTCTACATTGAAGACATATACAGGTTTTGATTCTACTTCTGTTAAATCAAGTGGGGCTTCATTGGATTTCTGCTACTACAGAGATAATCAAATTCTGGGTAGTGGTCAGGAGAAAATTAGTCATAGGTGTTCTCATGTAATAATCACTGTTGAAAGTGTAAATGATCCATTTATCAGTAAGACTGAGAATGGAATAACTGCTACATTACTTCATATGAGATTGTGTGTGCTACTGTCCCTAGGGCTCCAGTGAGTGAATATTTTGAATGTGAAGCTTATCCAGATCTGAGGATGGAATAAATGGCTGGGTGTGATATGGCTGATATAAATAATATGCCTACATTTATGTGAATTAGTGGATAAGATATGGGAAGGGGAATTCATGTTGTGAGAGCCAGGGTTAAGGCTAGCATTGGGGCAATAATATATAAATTGATGATGTTGATGGACATAGAGGTTCTTTAATAAGCAATTTGAATGCCTCAGCAATGGGTTGCAATAATCCATGGGGGCTGATGATTTTGGGCCCTTTCTGGATTTGTATATAGCCTAGGATTTTCCATTTAGTTAATATGACGAATGCTATGGTGAATTAAATTGGGTCATTTGTGAAAGAATGTTGATTATAAACATTCTTAGGAAGAGGACTTGAACCAGTGCAGATAAAGGTTTCAGTTTTACATAATTACTGGGCTCTGCCACCGTAACAAACCCGGTTCTACAGTAGGGTATGTATAAATTAATTGAATGTAGATTATATCATCATTTAGTTTGCAGACATTTTGTAAAGTAAGCCGTATTGCTCTTGGCCTTTCATACTGGGAGAAATCTGCAATAGACAGTAAGCAACTAGGACGACTTCAGTCTGGACTCAGATCATGTGAGACTTTAATCGTTGAACAAACAGACAGTAAACAGCAGTTATACCATTGAAATGTCGTGATCCAGCATCAAGGTCATAAACCATATTGCCGATTATGAACTCCAGAATACAATTACACTGTTATCCCTAGTAAAACTTGTTCCGTTGATCAGTGTTTTTAAGAACAGGTGATAAAGCATTTTGACTAGCTGGTCTAAATTTTAATCACTCAGAGGTACTTTTATTCTCCAAAAAATAAATGGCACATGGGCTCAAGGCTCACTGGCTTCAGTAGTTGTGGTGCACAGGCTCAGTAGTTGTGGCCCACTGGCTTAGTTACTCCGTGGCACATGGGATCTTCCGGACCGGGGAAACCGTGTCCCCTGCATTGGCAGGTGAATTCTTAACCACTGCATCACCAGGGAAGTCCCAGAATTGCAGTCTCCCTTTTAATATACCTTAAGCCCAAAGAATCCATGGAAAATTGTTACAGAAAATAAGACAACAAAATATTGTAAGGACTGTAACAGAAACATATAGTACACCGTTCATATAGACACATCCCAAGCAGTTACAAAGTATATTAAAAGGGAGGCTGCAATTTTATTTTTAAAATTTTTTTAACATCTTTATTGGAGTATAATTGCTTTACAATGATGTGTTATTTTCTGCTTTATAACATAGTGAATCAGTTATACATATGCATATGTTCCCATATTTCTTCCCTCTTGCATCTCCCTCCCTCCCACCCTCCCTATCCCACCCCTCTAGGTGGTCACAAGGCACCGAGCTGGTCTCCCTGTGCTATGCGGCTGAGGGAGGCTGCAATTTTAAAAGAATAAGATAAATTATACCCACAAACTCCCAATATTTCCTGAAACATTGCAGTCTGAAACCCTACTGTAGGAAGCAGAAGATTCCAGGAGCCATTCTACAAATGAAGGACTCTAAACCCTGTGGGTGGATAAGGAATTCTGGAAGGAAGGTATCCTCACCCAAGGAGAGCAGGTTCCTATACTGTCTAACATCACATCCCTGTACAATTCCCATTGATCTTGGGCCAGGTATTCTCAGTCCTCTTGAGAGAACTCTATGGCCATATCCTGGAATGTCAGCAGTCCCTGAAATTAAAAGTACACATGCCATGTGGCCACGGGAAGAGTTCATGATGTGACCCAAGAAGAAAACAGCAAGTTAAGAGAACTGGTTTTAATTTAGAAGAGTGTCTTCAATTATCCACTAGTATATATATATATTACAAAGTAACTTTCTCTACCTTATTTCTAACTACAAGAAAAGAGTATGGCATGTGATCCACAAAACCAGTATAGAGACTATACTTATCTGGAAAAGAATTGATAAAATGATGGTTTCAACACAGGCATATGCATTTTTGAGTGTTTTATTTATATCAAATTGGATAAAATGTGTGTATTTCTCAGATAGAAAAGACATGTCGAGGTGGAAATGTACCTTGCAACTATTTATGGGTACACAAGTACACTGGGGAGATTGTAAAAGTGCAGATTGTGATTCAGTAGGTCCGGTGGGCCTGAGTTCTATTTTTTTAACAAGCTCATTTTTAACTAGTGATGCCACAGTCTCTGATCCATTAACAACAATTGTGAATAGCAGAGACATAATTAGAAAGGTAAAAATTCATATTTAATTTTGAAAAACTGTTTTATGGATTTTACACCTTTAATAGGATAGTAAGCACAGCAGCAACAATCATTTGTGAATATTTACTGTAGACCGTGTTTCTAACATTTTTGCGTAGGATTCCAGGAAAAAGGCCTGGGCTGCGGTCACAGTGGGCGGGGCCCCAAGGCCGGGCCGCCCCTCCAGGACCCCCGATGGGGCCCTGCCCTCCAGGCGGCTCCTTTCCCTGGCGCCGCACTCCCTCCCGGAAGGCCTTGGGGCAGAGCGGTCCCACCCCCTGCGCTCAGAACGGAGCCGGCGTTTCCGCAGAGCTGGAACTCCCTCAGTTCGGCGTCTGTTCCCTCCGCCGTCACGGAACTGCCCCGGAGCCCGAGGGCAGGGCAGCCTCACTGAGGCTGCCGGCTCTGGAGGGGCCCCGGTGGCCGAAGCCGCGACAGTCGTGCGGACGGCGGGCCGGGTAAGTGGGCGCCGACCCCCCGGCCTGGTCCGGTGCCCGGGCGGCAGCGCAAGACCAGCTTCTGAGGGGCAGGGGTTCGCTGCCACCCGCCGCTGCTGTGTAGAAAGAGCGGCCCCCAGCGTCTGGTCCCGGGGAACTTCGGTCCCTCCTCTCACCCCTGCCCTCGGCCTGGCTCGCGGGGCCTGGGGGGCGTGGGGAGGGGTTCGGCCTGAGCGTCCTGAGGGGAAACGGGGCAAGGGAGGCGCAGGGTCCGGCTGCAGCGTCAGCGCCCCTCCTCCTGACTGCGGGGAAAGCGGCTGAAAACTCCCGAGGCTCGCAGGCCCCGTATTCAGCCGAGCCCCTCTGCGCTCCTTCCTCCCTGAGCTGAAGTACCGGGGGAGGGGACAGGGCAGGGGCCTGGCGCACGTAATGGGGAACATCAGAAGGTGATTGTTAACTAAGGAAAACCGGCTCTCCCAACGTGAGGAATGTAGCGCTTTTCTTTGTATGCGAAGATGCCAGAGTCTGGGCTCACTGAAATCCTTCCTTTGATATGCACCTCAGCTCCCTGGGGCCTGCATTCTGTATTTGCATATCCTGGGTTCCTCAGGGCCCGCGGCTCACACTGGAGGGCTGCAAGTGCTGATGACTGTGACATCCTTTGTTTACTGAGATGGCAAGAAATATTCCATTTCTCAGAGGCTTGAGGGGCAGACAGTGAAAAAGAGTCGGAGAATCTCACTCGGCGTGTACTTTGGTTTACATGTAGATAATATTTATACGTAACTGTGCTAATAGAGGCTCTCAAGTCCCATCAACTTGTACTACTGCCCTCTAGGTATTCATTTCATCAATATCATAAGATAAATGTCTATAGAATTGCCTTAATCCATTTAAATAGGTTAATGATTTTTAAAGGAAACATAGTAGAAATATGACAACAAAACCCTTACCACTAAAGGCTGTGTGTGGAGCAACCTAAATAAATGTTTCATTTTTAAAATATTGAAAGATGTATTCAGTACAAATATCAACAAAAATGACAAATAATAAGGGCAGCAGAATGTTGAAATGTTCTATCTTTATCATTAAAGTGGCAGAAAATCATTTATTAGTAGGCACTGGGGGCAGAAGATGCCTGATTTTATATCTTTGTCATATTTGTACAGTTGTTTCAACAAGTAACTTAAAGACAAAATGGAAAAACAAGGAGGTTTGTGCCTGAGATCATGTTGATGTGAAACCAGGGATGGCCACCTTGTGCCAGGTGAGTTAAGTTTACCTGGCAGGTAGACCGCAGAGTTCCTGAGAAGCAAGGGTTGGAATTTTTCTTCTGGGTGCCACTTAGGTTCTGTGACTTGACTGATTGTGAGTCATGTTTCAGGAAAGACCTGATCACAGGAAAAGGGTGGGAATAGTGTGATTTGGGGAGCAGCTAACAACATTCATCACGGCTCACGGCCTGAATGAATTTTAAAGAAACAGGAAAACAAATGCTTCTTATGGAATCAGAGAATGTGAGGGCTGGACAATCCCACAAAATGAGGAACACCCGTCCCATTTTCCAGATGAGAAAACAGAGGCCCAGCAAGATGAAATCGCTCACCCAAGTTGCACCCGTCTCTCCTCCCCACTACATGGTTCATGAAAGCAGGACTCTTCCTGTCGTGATCACCGCTGAATGCTGAACCCCAAAAAGGGCCAGGTATCTAGCAGCTGCTCCAAAAATTTTGGTGGACTATAGGAAAAATGCTATTTCTTTCTTTCTCACTCTTATTCAGGATTGTGCCAAGAACCCCCCAGTTTGCAATGTAATTCTATAAATGTAAATATTAATTGAGTTTTGCTGTGATGAGGACTTAGGCTTTCAAGGTAACAGACTTGGTTCAGATCTTGGTTCTGCCACTCAATAGCTGTTTGGCTTTGGGAAAATTGCTAAACCTCTCTGAGCTTATTTCGTCCTTTGTAAAGTGGGGATAAATGTATCTGAGCCAGCAGAGCACCCACATGAGAGATGTGCACTAAATATTGGTCTTTCTCACTCTCCCACGCCATCTCTCTGTTCTTCCCAGAGAAGTTGTACAGAAGGATATAGTACTTTTTAAAAACAATTAATTAATTTATTAATTTATTTATTTTTGGCTGCCTTGGGTCTTCGTTGCTATGCGCGGGCTGTCTCTAGTTGCGGCGAGCGGGGATTACTCTTTGTTGTGGTGCGCGGGCTTCTCATTGCGGTGGCTTCTCTTGTTGCGCTTGTTGTGGAGCACCGGCTCTAGGCGTGCGGGCTTCAGTAGTTGTGGCCTGCAGGCTCAGTAGTTGTGGCGCATGGGCATAGCTGCTCCGCGGCATGTGGGATCTTCCCTGACCAGGGCTCGAACCCATGTCCCCTGTGTTGGCAGGCAGATTATTAACCACTGCGCCACCAGGAAAGTCCGATATAGTACTTTATGAAGAGGGGTTTTAATTTATTTCAGATAGTGTATATTTTTCTTGTAGAAAAGATTATTCCACTATAGAAACATTAACACGCAATACCACTACAAATGCAGTATTCTATGGGTTAGATGTTATCAGTAATTTTATAAGTAATTAGGCAAAGGCCAAAGCACTAGGTACTGGCAAGTAAGAAGACTCAAATCTGGGGTGCCCGCCCACGCCAATTTCAAGAGCAGGGTGTGTTTTTCGAATCCATGTTTCATCTGGTCTTTGTTTCTCATCCGTCCTCTGTGTCTGCCTTTCTCAAGAAGGCTCAGATCCTCTGCTTTCACACCCTCCCGGCTGGCCGTGCCCCAGCTCCCGTCCTGGAACCTCTGCATGCGTGGGTGTGCCTGCTCTCCCTGTGCATCAACAGCTTTGCCAGGGAGCTGATGTATCGTGCACTGCTTGCTGTACCCCAGAGTACCTAGACCCTTCTGGTACATGAAGTACACCCTCATCACCATGAGCGCACGCCCATCCCCTTACCTTATACCCTGCCTCTAAGCCAGGCTTGGGGGTGACTACAGTG